AGAGAGAGAGAAAGAGAGAGAATACTCTAAGTAGAATGGAATAGGGTGGCTCCAGTGGAGCCCTGGGGGGTCTGTGGAGGTAAAAACTTCCCTGCATATTTCTTATCAATTAGTATCTGCTCACTGCTGAGGTTAACTATTGAAGAAGAAAGAAAAAGGGTGTGTGGCTTGGGTTGGGGGTGGTGGTGGGATACCAAGGGGTTTACAAGACCAAAGCACAAAAGGAACACCTTATCTTTCTGGAGTCTTTCAAAGGTCGTTTCCCATTTTGAGTTTCTGGGCACATTTTTGTACCTTGCGTTTTCCTTTAACACGCACGATCCATTCACTACATTCAAGCTAGTTCCTTGCCTCCTGGCTGCTTCTCAGCTCTCTCCCGCGCACCGGGCCTGGGGCCGGCCCCTCCCTCCGCGCAGGCTTGCACCTCTTCTCAGCCGGGTGCACCTGAGGCTGGCTCGGATCCGGGAGCAGCACTGGGGGCGCAGCGCCTCCGAGACAGAGGCACGCTGGCTGCCGCTTTCAGCCTGCGCCCAAGGGACAGCAGCACAGCGCTTGGGGTCTGTTCTGTGTGGTCGCCGCTCACGCCTCACCGCAACCACAGCCGCCAAAGCTGCGGCCGTGCAGCCGCGCGTCCCCGGAGACAGTCAGCCCCGGCGGCTGCTCCTCCTCCCAGATGCCAGGGCCCGGGCGCCGGGCGGCTGCCAGCAGGAGGATGAAGGGCTCAGTGGGAGGAAGAAGAGAAAAGCTGCTGGGGACGCCTAAAGCTCAGCCTAGCCATGGTAAGTTGAGCGCAAAAGAGGTGTCTGGGCTCCTGCTGCAGAGTTGGCGGGGGATGCAGCCCGCGGGATGCGAAACTGTGGGACTGGGGCGCTCTGAATGGGTGTTTGCAGGGTCCTGACCGGGACCTCGCCCCCCTGGCCCCCACACCATCCATCCGCAGCCCCACCGCTCCTGCTTGGTGGAAGGTTGCAGGCACTGGAGAGGAGAGCTCAGAACTTGAGGGTCTCCAGACACCTTGCGCTGTCACAGAACAAGGGGCAGGCGAAGCAGCGGCGGCGGGGCGGCAGGGTCAGCCTGGCAGGACCCAGCAGGAGGGCTGGGCATCCGGAAACTCCCTGCTGGCTGTCTCCTATTGGGTGTATGCGGGGCGTGCTCCTTCCTCGGGAACCCGGTGAAGTTGTTGGGATAAGAAAGCACAGCGGGGCAGCTTCATCACTGTCTTTTCTGTAAGGTTCTTTCTTCACAAGGTTTCTCTTTGGAACACATCTGACTTGAGTGCAGCATGGGAAGCTGTTGAGTTCAAGGGATCTCTGGGGCATCTCTTCCTCATTTAGGGGGGCAGTGGGAAGTTAAAGGTAAAGTCGTACCTTTATCCCTGAACCTGATAGGACAGTCAGGCTTCCTGCTCACCTAGTGTGTCTGTTCATCCCTCCACTGGTACCCTTGAGGCCGAGTCAGGAGGAAGAGCACTGATTTGTGTCCCTTGTGATCTCTCGCATTTTCAGAGAAGTTTTATTGTGGGTGTGAATTGGGGTCAGAGGAAAACTGTCACCTCCAATAAGGTGTCTCTACTTCTGAATTACCCATTTTTTAATGTCACCTGGACAATGCATACCTTTCCACATCACATGTTTCTGGAAGATGTGTTTATACCTGCTTTAGCCTGAGCTGGTTTGCAATTTCAAATGAAGGATATGCTGTTTCTGGGCAGTTGAACATCCACCACATTCTGAACCTTACACTGATTTCCAAGAGTACCTTGTGTTATGTAGGTGCAACTAAGGACCCTTGAGCTGGTGCTTTTCTGTGACATTCCTGCAGTGCTTTTGTGGGAATGTGATGGGGAAATTTCTCTGTTCTTTCCAGAAATTTCTCTCTTTGCTGTTTGGTCTGTGAAACATGCCTTTTCTATGCTTACTCAATTCCTATGCTTACTCAATATGGTTCACCATATTCCCTGAAATCCACTGGAAAGGTATCTAAACCTTTGGGTTTTCATGCTACCCTGCCCCTGTGTTGTGTAATGCAGTCATTATATACTGGTCTCTAAGCATGAAAGGCAAATATGGGTCATTTCAAATTATGTAGATTGATGCAGCATGGCTTGTCTGGCTTTGCTGCAATTTCTTCATATTTCCTCCCAGATGTTCCTCAGAAATTAACTTGAGCATTTTATTCATAGAGCTAAAATACAGACTGGGAGAATGGACACATAACTGAGTTAATAGATTATCATAGATTTAAGTAAGTGAGGGTTGGAAGCACTGATTTAAGGGAAAAGGATCTGTATCAAAATTTAGAAATCCTGGAATATTTTTGTTTCCATGACGAAGTGGCTTTGGACAATAAACACTAGTAATAGTAATAGTGACATCTGCTTTCCTGCCCATTCACTGTATTCTAAGCAGAGTATTGGGCCCCTCTACATACATAACGGCCCTAAGAAAGCAGCACCTTTACCACTTCCATTTTTTTTTTGGATAAGAAAAAGGATACTTAAGCTGTTACATTTGGAAAAGTTTCTGAATTAGTGTTTTGGAAACCAAAATTGCTGGACTCCAAAATTGGTTCCATTAGCCAGTCCACAACTACATTGAGCCACCTGGAAAACGGAAGGATGACATTTCTTAAGTTCTAAATCCATGAAATAGTTGCACAGAGATGGTACTATCATGGATCAATTTATTCACAACCACACCAGATGTTTTAATGTAACAGAAAGGTAGAGTTTGAGTCTCGAAATCAACTGAAAATTGTGTGGCATTTATGTGATTCTGCTTGGCGGCGCTAAAGAAGGCTGGATGTTGCAGTCTAGGTGTTCTCCTGGATGACATATGTCTCTGAGCCTCTTTATTGTAAATCAATATCACTATATTATATCACTACTCTTAACAACGTATGATTTATAACATCAAATGTACCTGGTGCTAACATCACCTTTGTATTGCGAATCTGTTATTATCTATATGGACATTCTCATGTTTCAGCCAACTTGTAATTAATACCCAGATTCTACCAGGACATTGAATTTCTATTAAGAGAAAGTAGTGTCTTGTCTTAAAATTTCTTTTTTATTTTCAGCAGTGTTTCAAAACAATTATACTTCCTGCTGTGATCTGCTATTTAATAGGTACATCAAAAGTTCATAATGAAAAATATTTGCAATTCAATATTTGCAACACAAACATAGTGTTTTACTTACAATAACAATTCTGGTTAAAAATTCACATCTAATTTAGAGTTCACTTTATTTGAAATTTAATTAAGATGCTGTATTTCTTATTCTGAGTTGTATGTAGCGAGGTGAGTAGTCATCTCCATTATTTTCTTGTAATTTCCAAATTTATGAGTCTATTACATGTTAATTCTTCAGATAAATGTTAGTGCCTGTCTGAAGATTTTGAGTATTTGAAGCAACAGATAGGGTGCATTTGTAATGTTTCTTCACAAGCTCTAATTATGCTTGTTTTAGGAACAGTAATAAATCCAGATCTGATTTGCCTGGACATGAATGGAATTATCAAATACAGTATATAAATCCCCTGGGACACAATGATATTAAAATCCCAGATGTGGGGTTAACTCTGGGAATTGGAGATCTTTGAGAAGTTAAAGATATTTTACTCTTTTATATTTGCGTGATGTTTTTGAAAGTAAAACTGCTTTTCTCTGTTCCTTTAGACAATGGTAATTGCCAAGATTTCTCTTTTGCTTAGAATTAAATTGAGTTTCTAGTAGTTTCTTAGTTTTGCTTAAAATATGAATTTTCATCTTTTCTCTTGATTTATATCTGTAAGCATTTGATGGTCTTAAAAAATCACATTTCCCTACTAAAAGCAATGCATGTCTGAATATAAAGTTTAACAGAAGCATAGAAGTAACAGTAACAAGTTGATAAGATTTTGCTTATTTGGGGAAAGTAGGTAATGAAGTTGTTATAGTGGCTAATATATTTGACCTTAGTAAAATATGGAATTGCAAACATGAATTTTAGATTGCAGATTACTTTATGTCAAGGAGAGTCTTGTGAATTGGATTAACTTTCTAATCATATGAAGATGTGTTCTATTATCGTTTACCAATCTCATAATGTCCATATTTGCACAGTAGAACTAATAATATTTCACTGGATATTATTTTGCGATTTAAACAACTAGATCTCCAAAAAGTCATTGAAAATCTGTAGCCATTTGCTTTACAGTGATATTACAGATTAAACAAACTAATATTGAGAAGGATTTGTACATATGAATCTTTTGAGGGCTTTGAGTTCAAGATGGATAACATGTTTTAGTTTATTGACAAAGACGAAAGCGTGAGTTTGAGTAAAATACAGCCTGCAGTTTAAAAATCAAGCAATTGGCCCTCCCTGGTGGTGCAGCGGGTTAAAGCACAGCACTGAGAAGCTAAAGCCACTTCCGCATGAGTTCGATCCCCTCCTGCCCTGGGAGGTGACCACCTGCCATGGCATGGCAGACCTCTCCTGAACCGCCCGCTGCTCCCCTCAGCAGTGTACTTCGTCGATCTGCCTGTTCTGTTCCCCACTCTGACTCTGGTGAAGCCTCTCACCGCCCCTGAGCCTCTGGCCTGTACCCCAGTTCTGTGTGCACAAATAAATAAATCTTTAAAATAAAATCAAGCAATCATTAAATAGCTTCTAAGAAACTTAGATCAACTCGTATAGAGTACATGCCTAAACTTTGCTGGTATAATTTAACTTTTGAACAAGTGGATAACAAACACATTGGAGATCATTAAAAAAAATCCCACTGATCATAAAATGTATTTATTTATATCTCCCAGGACTTTCTGCTAGTAAGAATAACTCCTCTTTCTGGAATAACCCAGCTTTTAAAAATAATAGCAAAGTCTTTAGCCCACTTTAACCATATTGAAATAATTGTGTAGCACTTTTGATATTTTGCAGATTGAGGAGGGCGCCAAAGAATATCTTGTTTCTATCCTAGTGATGAGTCCATAGAAAATACTAGAAGTCAACACTAGAATGGGATCGACAGACACCTCAGGAACATTTAATGACTTTATTGTTTTGACTGTAGTGCCCTTCAACAATGTATTTAATTTTTTAACTTACCTGTAGTAGCTATCTCTGATCTATTTATGGAATTATATCTCCCACATAAACAAGCCTGCACCATCCCTAAATGGGTCTTTAAAGCAAGAGGACTGCAGGGGAGGAGAGTTCTTTTTCCCTTTGATATAGTTATGTAAACCATCTTTTAGTAAGCGCTACTAATCTTAGCACACCTTGACTGCCCCTTAAACCTCTTTGTCCTTGAGAAGAAAAAACTGTTGAGAGCAGTGTAGAAGGTGCATTTGGGGATTTTCAGAAGGGTTTCCCATAATTTTGGGTCACGTAGCCTCTGATTAGTATTTTTTGGTGACCTTGGCATGCATTCTATTTTTTTTATTATTAAAGAGATATGTTTTTATAATGTATTATTAAACAGTATTGAAGATTTCTTTCCCTTATAATGATTTCTTTTATATACCCTGAACGGAAATGAGAGAAAATTGATTAGAATACATATAAAACTCGAGAAGGCATCCTGAAAAATCTGAAGGCATTTGGTTGACAACAGCTTCCAAGAGGTAGTAATCTGTGTCCCAAACACATCCAGATCACCTAGAATTTAAACATAAATATTAATGAAATGAATGGATTGAGTTATTAGAGTTATGAATTTGATATGGTTAATAAAATTAGACTTGAAAATCATTGAGCCAAATTTTTCATTTAACATGAGAAGGGAATGAT